CTTAGAAGCACGGATGCAAGTCATGCAGGGACATTTGCAGGGCCAGAAAACAAGCCTTGGCTCGTTCTGTTTTGCAATGTAGTTCTCACACCAGCATCATGCCAAACATACTACATCCTTTGAGGAATGCATTTATTTTGAGCAGGATTGATACTTGAGAAAGTGAGTGACGCTGGTGAAAACAGACAGATGTTTACTGATTCAGTCTTCACATGCAAAATGGTTGGTGTGTATTCAAAGCAAATTTCCGAAGATGTATCTCATCTTAATATCAAGAAAGAGTGTATTTTCCCATTTGTTGTGATTTCTTAATCTAGATCTTCTATATATTCCAGGGACATAGTTCCTAAATTTAAAGCTGCAAACAGACTTGTTCTTTCAGCATACTTGTAAGAAATGTTTAATTTTACATTGCCAATTTTCAAATATTCCAATATACTCTGACTAGGTAAAGCATTAAGGAATTACTGTAACTCAGTGATGAATTAATGACTTGCTTGCTGGTGCAAGTCCTTATTTTTCTCTCTGTCAGCTCTTGGGCCAGACATTTTAGAAGAGTTTAATCAAAATCCTCATCRAAAGCCAAATGAGTGGATTTTAAAGAAAGTTTAATTACAGTGGTCAAACCACCCAGCATGATTTGCCTGATTTGATTAACATAATGAGGAGCTCATTTAATGAGAAATGCATTAATTCATTCAAACAAGTGGTTTTATCAGTGGTATTAAGCACCAACCCAGATTATGTACAGCAGAAACTATTACAGCAAAAATTGWGCAAGGTCAAAGCAGTAGTGATACCGTAATTACAAGCTCTCAGCTGTAATCTACCAGTTGAACTTGGGTAGTWCTCATCCTGCCCGAAAAAGCAGGTYCCCATTGCAAAAAGTCCCCAAACCATAGAGTTGCGCTCCAATTCCACAGCTGAGATCTCCATCTCTTTCTTTCAGATGTTCAGAAGATTTGGGAGCTGGGACTGAATTTTATGAGTTTCAGATGGCTACACATGCAAATGTTAGTAACAAATGACAAAGTAAGAGCTCAAAGGAACCCTGCTATGACTCCACACCCTTAAAGGAAATGGATGTTGTCCATTTGCTATTTGTTTTACATCTCTCCTAACCCTGTGATGTCTTAGGGATGCTCCCACTCCTAACCTGGAATAAAGTGACTCTGGGGAAAAATTAGTATTTCACTTCTGGGGAAAGGAACTTCCTTCTTTAAGCAAGAAGGAAAATTAATCTCAAGTGGGACGTATTTGAGAAAAAGAAGAAAGTCTCCTTCACACCTTCCTCTCTTCAACTGCCTTCTTTAGATCCATTTCACACCCTATACTTCAACTTCCCCATTTCAGGACCCTTTCCTGTGGGCTTTGCACAGCACCCTTCACCTGAACCCCCCTACTGACACCCCTTTTCTGGTGTTCCCTGCTCTATCTCCCAGCAGTTGCCAACGCTCCTCTCTCTCCTACGCTGCCCTGACCACCATTACCACCTTGACTTCTGCTGTGCTCCCCTACTTTTACTCAGACCACTTGTTATTCCTGCAGTGTCTGTGCTACCCCGGCGGGAGCCGCCTTTCCTGATGCTTCCCACTGTGCCCATACAGCACTGAAATTTCTTTGATTTTCAAGTGCTCTACTTCTCAGCTGGTTTGGCTGCCAGAGCACTTTCCAAGCACTGCTGCACAGTGAACTTAAGCACTGTCTATTGCTCAGTTTTTCATCAGCTACCATCAGCTACTGGTAAAGGACACCATACTTAAAACTGCCCTAAGGAGACAGGAGGCTGGTCAAGGAGCYGAGAAGTGCAGCACAAGCCCAGTTGCACATGGGATCCTCCAGGAGTAGATGGATATGACCAGTGAAGACTGGCACRGGAGCAGAATTTTACCTCCTGATTAAGTCAGCAGGAATATGCAGTAATTATACCCCATTATCAGGACACCTAAATGAATGTAAGTACCAAGGTTCACCTGCAGCTTTGGAAGTTTGGATAAAGATCTTCAATAAATAAGCTGAAGCAGAGAACTAGAGAGGTCAAAAATATATTTAATATTTATTTGCTATATTAATAGAAAATGAGCAAGAAAATCATTCATGCTGATCTGAAACCCCTAATCCTTACAATTATTTCTGCCAGTTGCCTTTATACCACAATGAAATGAGTAAAAATTGGAATTGGGAGTCCCTWGATTTGAGAGAAATTTCATGATCTGCCTATACTGCACACCAACAGGAACCTGTGATAATGGCATCTAAACATTTACAWGGAGGAAAGCATTAACAGTGATGACCATATCGTACACTCAGCAAGGCTGTTCCCAAGTCAATTCCATCTTGGAACAAGTAACACAAACAGCACATACAGACTCACTGCAGAAGCTGCCCCTTGGTTCACATTTAGTATCCCTGAGTGGAATCTACATGGGAAATCATAAAACATAAATTCTTAGAAGGTCATATCTTAAAATACTTTTCCCCACTATCTCCCAGCCTAGTCTTCAAACAGACAATCAACACTGCTAAAGTTATTTAGAAGAAAATTCCCCAAGGACCAATATATCTCACCATACTAGAGTGATAAATGCAAAAATTGCAATTTATCTCCACAGCCCTCAARAGAACCATGAAAAACAATGGATGCTCATCATATCCACCCCTGAATGCAAACTACTTCTTCTTATGTACTATGTGCCCTCTGTACCACAGTGAACTCACACTGACAATCCCTGCATGAAAGAAAACCATGGTTAATAACAATGTCTCCTAAACCAGTTATTCTCTGATCATTCAGTTTCATCCTCAAGGGTATCCTACAAAAGATACTGGAAAGACTAAGCCAGGATTAAAATTAACAATTTAATGGGACACCAAAAATTGTTGATTCTGACAACAACACTAATTTTATGGCACATTACAATTTACATCACATATGACTTGCTAATCTCAGTTCCTCAGGAGATAATTACCTGTGCATTTCTTCCATCCTGTGTGCAGTAGAGCTGAAGACCTTATTACCTCTCCTCTTACTAACTTCCCCTCTGTTCCTTTCATCTCAAAATACTTGACTGATTAATAAAATGAAACTGAACTCRGAAAAATTGCTTCTGATCTCTGCTTATCTGGCCGCTTGCTAGCTGTGTCACTCCTGTTTTTTGCTCCTCGATCTTTTTACTATTACGTGTACTGATAACAGATACTGTCTTTCTCCACAGACATTCCGAGTGTAATGACACTTCCCTRTTTACCAAAACACCTGCCCAACCAACCTCCACTTTGAAAATATCAAGTACTGTTCCAGATATGGTTCCAGTTCTGACTCACAGATGCCTTTCTGAATAGTTATATGGCTTTCAGTCTYGCATTATCCAAGCTCTTAATTGCTTCAAAGAAGTATTTAGGCTTAGCAAAGAATAAGCACACAACTTAACTGGCCAAACATCAGTCACTATTTCTAAAAGGAAAGGAAACATTGCTAATTCAGATCTTTCTAAAATGAAAGTGAAATAGAACATGGACAAGAGTCAGGAATATGTTGTTCAACTGCGGCAGTTATGTATTATCCTCCAATCCAGTCATAAATGAAAACTTTTATTGTCACTTCTCCCTTATATTTTCCAGATAGTGAACTGGTCTTTGGCAAYGCCCATTGCAGTGATGTTGTTTGCAAGCGAATGTGTTATTTGCTTCTCCCCTTCATCCACGGAGCTCAGAAACCTCTTAACTTTACTTATGTGCATCCAAATTCACTAACTTTAAGCTGTAACAGCTTGGGAAAGKTTAACCAGTATCTTAGGACTATACTCAATATAATTTTGCCTGGGGACTTTCAGTGTGCAGTACCATATGAATTAAAACATATGGACCTATCACTTAATGCATTTTAGGAAGTATTAAATAAGCCAGTATRCAAAGCTCTGAGGTAATGTGCAGATCTACCACCTCCTGCCAAATGCTATTCACTTTCTTGGACTTGTAGAAGCAGCAGGTATTGTTCTGCTTCCACCACATGCTGTTCTTGATGCACACTTGGGAATTCTTTGTAAGTACCTAAATGTCATATCCAGGGCAGAATTTCTACATTCTTATTCTTTTCTCAAAAAGCATTCTGAGAAGATTCAACACAGGATTAAGGAAAGGATTTTGAAACTTGTATTCCTCATTTTTTGAAACAAGGGGTTATCTGTGACTCTAACTCATGAGACCAGGCACCCCAATATACCACGTACAAAGCAACTGTTTACTCCATATGTGTCTGTCACCATGGAAAAGCTCATGGAACATATGGAAAGGTTCAAAGGAAAAGCAGGCCCCCACATCTCCTCCTCCTACTCAGATACAAACCAGGATCTTGCTCTGCTAGCCAGTACACAGATAAACTTCAGCACTGATATATGGCAACTGCTGACACAATGTAAACATGTGGTAAAAGCAAAATATTTGCCAAGGACCTAAAAGGCTGGGTGCTTGAAGCAGCTCTCCAGGCTGGCTTTGGTTAGCAAGGTGTGCCAGGGAACACGTACCCAGGTATCGCTTCCACTGCTGGTTCCTTAGAGATTGGCCCTACAGTGCACTGCACCTACATCCCAAAGAGCAKTATCCAATTCCCTTCCTTCTCTTTTGGCTGTGCCACTGCAATGAAAGTTTCATGAAGAAATCGAGGTGATCCTGGAAGAGCAGAACAGCTCCTACCACCCACGAGCCAAGGTTGTACTGCGCCTGAGGCACCTGCTGCGTGGCTGGTGCCACCATCAGCCTCTTTGTCGGCGGTTATCGTTGGAAGAAACACACAAATTCAGCCCATTTACCCTTGTTTCCCACTCCTGAGTAGGTAACGTGAGGGCAATGTTGGGGGCGGAGAGGGATGAGGTGTGAAATATTGTGAGATGAGGATGCCCAAGCTGTCTGGCGATGGAAACCAGTTTCGGCAGGGTGCCTCCTCAGCATCCCTGTGGGAGGGAGATGTGGCAGGAGCCCGGCAGAGTCACGGCGGCCCTTACCTTCTCGTTCTTCCTCTCGTCGGGCTTGCCGGCGGGCCCGGGCACGGCTGGCCCAGCCAGGGACCCACCGCCCACGTCCCCGTTGAGGTGCGCGGCGCTGACGTTGGGCGGGGTGATGGCGGCGGCGGCGGAGGTGAGCGGGATGAGGGGCCTGGCCCCCGGGGCGGGCGGCTGGTGGCCGTGCTGCGGGGACACGGCGGGGTGAGGCCGAATGGCTGCGGCGGGCAGGCGGGAGGGAGAGCTGGGTGTCCGCAGAGGTGACACGGTGGCCGTGGGTCGGTCCGGGGCCGGCACCGCCGGGTGCGCTGCGGGAGAAAGACAGAGCACGGTTAAACTCCGCTCGTTCTGCTTAGTGGGCCCTTTTGTGGCCGTAGTTCAGTTGGTCAGAGCACGGTGCCAATAACACCGAGGTGTGGGTTCGGTCCCCTTAGGGACCATTCACTTARAGAGTTGACGTCGATGATCCTTCCTTTCCAACTCAGAATATTCTGTGATTCTGTGAAGGTGCCAGGGGCCCGATGGAGACATAAGCCCTGAGCTTTAGCCCAGGATATCTCACCCTGCAACTGTTTTCAGCTAATTCTCCTCCTGGCTGCAAAAGGCCTGTCCAAAGTCACCAAAATTGGCTTGTTYCCCCAGTGATGCCACTGGGGAATGGCACTCACTATCCCTGCCTGTGCCTGGAAATAAATACTTAGCCTGCTGTCTTTTAAAAATACATTATCTCGTTCCAGCTGAGCTGTTTTCCACACCCCCAGGCCACCTCCTAACGTGATAGGTTTGGGAGCAATTCAACACGGGACCTAAGGGTTTAGCCCAAATGATCCACGCTGACCCTGCAGACAGCAATTACAAAGRGAGGTCTCTTGTTTCAGCCCTAACAAAATGATCAACATCACATCACTGTGCTGCACAGGATAAATTAAGCAGAAATCCACCAGAGGATTTCTCCAGAGCTCAGCCTCCTCTCTGCCAGCAAAGTCCCTAAGGGACTATGCAGTGCCTTTTAGTCTGGCTGCTCCTGCTAAGCAAACCCTGCCTGCAAGCAGTGGGAACCAGGAATTAGAGCTCATCCATTTAACGGTGACTGTGACACGCTGATGAGGTCGGCTCTCCAGGGATTCCAGAGCCTGTTGCATGATTCAAGTTGAAAAAAATGTGATAAATCTCTGGGTCCWTTTTCACAATGATTATGTCTATGATTTCCAGCTTGGTTGATTGCTTAGGTGTAACTTAAATGCAGCTTCGTGTCAACTATGTACAGCCTAGAAGCCGAGTCCATACTCAGACATTCCCTCACTTAAATGATTCAATAGTAGGACTGACTGGAAAGTGACCATTTCATAAATGATTCCAGGGTTTCATAGTCTTGTTTAACTTGGTCTCCGTGCAAAATTTGAACCTCTGAACATTTTTCTGAGCATGACATGCTCATTCACTCCATAATAGCCTCTATTTTGATCAGGTTGTTCACCTGGGCATGTGAAAACATAGAATGTGATCATTACACTGTTCTCTTGTGTGGAGAACAGCTCTGGAAAACCAGCAATTCCCTTACCAACATGAGCCAGTATAGCTTCATGGTTGGTCTGACTGAACTACATCCTGACAAAAAACTGAGTCCAARTCAGCTTTTCTTTGACCAAGATGCATTTTACTTGAAAATTTTTGACCCACTTTGATCTGTGATTTTTATCTGAAGGACAAACTTTTATGCAGCTGGAGTTCACTCAATCTATAACTAAACAACAATGCTAGAAAACTCAAACCACTGGTTTCTATTCCTGTGGCTACCAGTGGCACCCTTTAACATGGATTGAAATTATAGGCTGCCATTAATCATACTCAGTGTGCCAGCTGAGCACTCCTCCCAGGAGGGAATTTAATCTCCCAGGCTTATGCCCTGTTATCTGGTATGATACTGAACACAACAGGCCAGTCATCATCAGATTAGCACCTCCAAAGTTTATAGGATTCTCCTTCACAGTTGCTCTTTGTATAACACACTTTTTTTACTAGTGTTATTTATAGCAAATCAGCTAAACTGTCTTAAACCAGTCTGTAACTTCATATGACTTTACCATGTAGCATGAGGAAGGCCCTAAAAGTTATCACAGACACCTTCAAGCCTATTTTTACTATTAGTTATTATCTTCCCCTCCCAAGACTACCAAGAACATGCAGTGAAAGTGCAATTCACTTCCAGAAAGCCAGGCACCATTTATCTTGAAGTGATTCCCTCCTGATTTTCCCATTTGGAACYTCTGTGATAAGCAACCATTGCTATCAGAAATCTAATTTTCTGGGATGGTTAAGCTTGCAGGAGCTAGGATTTGAACTACTGTTTGTAGAGAGCAGTGGCTTTCCAAATTTAGAGGAAAAGCATACAATGGAATTTCACTGCATGTACCTGGATGCAGACCCCTGATTTGATAGTCATATTACATACATCATCTCTTTCACAGAGGAGTTGGTGTTTCCAGACACAAAGGAAACATAAAACACAAGAAACAGTAAAAGAAATGGCCTGAGAAAAATCAACTCTGAGCAGAGCTCTCACATATTATTCTGTAGYTTCATCTGCTTACTGTTACAAATCTATGCCTTTGCTCTGGAATCTCTGGATCTGGACTGAGCTGCATCAAACATGCTATTAATTAGCAATGCTCACTGAAGGCTATTTTTGTTCTACACCACTCATATTTCATTTTGGGTGTATTCCTACATTAGTGGCCTTGTAGAAAATTGATTTGTTACTCATGTATATTGCAAGCCAACAGAAACGTGATTTGAATACTGTGCCAGCTTGGCTCTCTTGGCAAGCTTTTCCAAAAGTCAGTGCTGTCCTGCAGGGATTCTGGTCCACAGGATACTGGTGAGGACAGTCATGGAGACAATTGCTGATAATCATGAAAATTTCCTTTATTTATCCTGGCAAASGTTTATTTAATTAAAGCAACAACCTCATCAGCCTTCTGGAAAGGTTGGAAAACTCCCTGCTTAGGAGGTTTTGGAACAGCTTTGTGGTCCCTGGATCACCCTGCCTGCCAATGCCTTGGCACTTTATGTCAGAGTGACCTGAGGAGGAGTAATATGAAATCAGGGAAGCTGCTGGAGGTGTTGCACAGTGAAAAGGAGGTGTGGGGCATGCCAGGTCTGTGGAGCAAAGTGATCTCTCATTTGGTTTCAGCGGAGTCACCCGCCTGTTGACATGGGCACAGGAGGCAACAGGAGCACCTGAACACTTCCTGAGAGCTTCACCTGAAAGGGGACATTTTTGCCTTTGGACTGTGGGAGCAGTAGACCTGGAAGGGTGTGACTTGCGGGGAAAGCAGCACTTTCTGAGGTAGACTACAAGAGGATAGATTCATTATTCCTCAGTGTGACAGGGATTCTGTGTAAAGCCCTGCACTGTTTGTTGAACAGAGGAGTCTCCACTGTACAAGACTGAGATTCACAAACATTTGATTACATTTTCTTCCCTTTGGTCTGGACTGTGTAGGAAGTAAGATCAGATGGTCATAATGGTAGCTTCTAGCTTCAGAAGGTATGAATTCATGACTTACTCTGCAGGGTATTTCTCATTCGTATTTGCTCTGTTTTGTATCTAAGACCTCAGTTTTCAGCAGTCACAGTTCTTACTGATCTGCCTTTGTAAATACAATGGCTCACATCCCTATAAAATATCAGAAACAAAATGTTTTCAATTTTGCTATAAAGTTCCRCCACAGGATTTACTTTTACTTTATTCAACATCAGAAGCTGTTTAACATCAGGGAWAGGGGAATAAATTGTACTCTAGAAAATTGTGCTGTACATCAGARAGGGAACCTAGAAAGAACAGAGGCCCCCTGGTGCAAGGAGCCCTTATTCTCACTTCAAAAAGGTGGTGGCATTTTTCAGATCTTTTGCTTTATCACTAACACGGRGTCCCATTCTGCCTAATAAATACCTTTCATCCCTGAAGCCCAGTGAAATGCTTCTTAATTTCAAGGCATGTGTTAACTGCTCTKCAATAAGGGCAGTATTTTTTTGTCAGCAAGCCAACCGGACTCAGAACTGTTAATCTCCTCAGTATACCGAGTGCTTTCTTTCACTCAGATAAATTGTATAAATATTTGTAAACACTACAATCTACTTCAGCTGTAGCAACAGAACAATCTGATAAACACAACGTGGTTCCCAGAGATCAATAGAAACCCATAAATATTACAAGCAAAGAAAACGTACTCTATCACCAGTGGACAAACTCCACATTGACTGTGCCGTGACTAAAGCGAGAAAGAAAGCTGTGGGTACGGACACATTCTAGAGGGTGGCACTCGAGGGGTGCCACATCAGAGGTGCCAGTGCGGGGCGGGAGGCAGCAGGGTGAGCACTTACCCATCTGCATGGCACCGCGGGGCTGGCTGGCTGGCGGCTGCGCCGAGTACCGCAGGCAGTTACTGAGCTGCGGAGAGGCCGCCTGCAGCTGGGGATGCGTCTGAGGAGCAGTGATGGGAACAACTGGTCTGACAGCCGTGCTGGCGTTGCTGTGACCAGCCACGATGGGATGGATGGCTCCTGGGGCTACTTTTGTTGTTGGAGCTCCTCCAGCTCCRCTGTTCCTCGGCTGCCCAGCTCCCACTGGCACCCTGCATGGAGACAAATGCACAGTGTAAGCATGCGGCAGAGACCAAAATACCCAACCACAGTGCTAATAAGTTCCTCTAGTTACTTAGGGGGTTCAACATTATAGCCTATCAGTTGTTAAACTGAGGTATTGATATATAGTTATCTTTGTAGGACCCARTTATAAGCATGCTGGGAGATATTTTCACCCCTCTATCCTACAGGAAGAAGTACAGGGTCAAAATAAAAAATATTATTTTTCTCATCACCTTTTTTATTACACTATATTTCTGTAGTGTAGTAAAATCACAAATCTTAATTCAGAGGAAATGGGTATCTCCCAAATGTCATTTTGTGTGCCAGAGGCTATTTCATGTGGAGTGATAATTGAAACAAACTCAGAGATCTTTTCTTTGGACCAAACCTGCAAACAGCCCTACAGGGAGAAACTAAGATGGATAACACCAAATCTGTGTATGGTGSGTATTGAAGGGAACTGAGAAGCAGCAGACTTGACTGGGCTTGGCTTGGCTGAACACTCACCCTATTGATGTAACCAGCCCTAGCTTAGACTTGCTAAGGGAATGCAACAGGGGAAGGAATGCAGTGGACCTGAATGAAAAAGAAATCCAAACAGTCATTGACACMTCTCTCACTTTTCACTTTAACTACATGCATAATTTGTGTTTCACGTGAGTGGCCAAGTCAGCCTCAKAGGGAAGAGACAAGGCTCTTTCTCCTTCCTGTTCACTGAGTTCAGGCTACAGCACATCTTGATCCTGTTATCACTGAGCTAAAAACTCTGGCCAGGACAGAAGGACACTGAGAAGGACAGAAGGACACAAATGGACAAAATCAGCTGCTGCTCAGCAGCTCTTTTCTCTGAGTTTCACACTCAAGTTCCTGAATAATTTTTTCCCCAGCTGCAGATGCCATGAAATGGATTGTTTTGTGCTGTTCTCTTCTGGGCTGCTTCTTATGCCAAGGTCCTCTTCCAGGAAAGGAACCACACAGGGAATATGAGGCAGAACAAAGCAAGGTGGAGGAAATGGAAATGAGACAATGCAAGGGTTTAGCAAGAGAGGAGAGAGTCATAGAAATGTAGGAGTCAACCATAGGATGTGGGACTGGGGCAGCCTCTAGGTCCCAAAGATGGTTGTGTGGGAACACAGAGAGAAGAGCAGAAAGSAGTGTGCTGAACAATTTGGTTTGATTCAGAGGGCATGAGTGACAGAAGAAATAACCCTTAGAAAAGGGTGGAAAGCTGAAAGAGTGAAATTCTGATGGAAAAAGACCAAAGCACAGGCTAGAAGATATGGTCCAAAAATGCAAAGGATAGCTATCCCTTCTGCCCAATTCTCCCTATCCCTAAAGTCACAGGAGGAAAGACAACATTGTGGTGTCAGTGACTTATCTCATGGTGCAAGGTTTGCCTGGATTATATTTTGCTAAATGCATCTGATTTTTCCTTTTTCCTTTTT